TGTGACAGTAGTAGTGTAAGATGTAACAGTAGTAGTGTAAGATGTAACAGTGGTAGTGTAAGATGTAACAGTGGTAGTGTAAGATGTAACAGTAGTAGTGTAAGATGTGACAGTAGTAGTGTAAGATGTGACAGTAGTAGTGTAAGATGTAACAGTAGTAGTGTAAGATGTGACAGTGGTAGTGTAAGATGTGACAGTGGTAGTGTAAGATGTAACAGTAGTAGTGTAAGATGTGACAGTAGTAGTGTAAGATGTGACAGTGGTAGTGTAAGATGTGACAGTGGTAGTGTAAGATGTGACAGTAGTAGTGTAAGATGTAACAGTGGTAGTGTAAGATGTGACAGTGGTAGTGTAAGATGTGACAGTAGTAGTGTAAGATGTGACAGTGGTAGTGTAAGATGTGACAGTGGTAGTGTAAGATGTGACAGTGGTAGTGTAAGATGTAACAGTAGTAGTGTAAGATGTAACAGTGGTAGTGTAAGATGTAACAGTGGTAGTGTAAGATGTAACAGTGGTAGTGTAAGATGTGACAGTAGTAGTGTAAGATGTAACAGTGGTAGTGTAAGATGTGACAGTGGTAGTGTAAGATGTGACAGTGGTAGTGTAAGATGTAACAGTGGTAGTGTAAGATGTGACAGTGGTAGTGTAAGATGTGACAGTAGTAGTGTAAGATGTAACAGTGGTAGTGTAAGATGTGACAGTGGTAATGTAAGATGTAACAGTAGTAGTGTAAGATGTAACAGTGGTAGTGTAAGATGTGACAGTGGTAGTGTAAGATGTGACAGTGGTAGTGTAAGATGTAACAGTAGTAGTGTAAGATGTAACAGTAGTAGTGTAATTGTAACAGTAGTAGTGTAATTGTAACAGTAGTAGTGTAAGATGTAACAGTAGTAGTGTAATTGTAACAGTAGTAGTGTAAGATGTGACAGTAGTAGTGTAAGATGTGACAGTGGTAGTGTAAGATGTGACAGTGGTAGTGTAAGATGTAACAGTAGTAGTGTAAATGTAACAGTGGTAGTGTAAGATGTGACAGTGGTAGTGTAAGATGTAACAGTAGTAGTGTAAGATGTAACAGTAGTAGTGTAACATGTAACAGTAGTAGTGTAAGATGTGACAGTGGTAGTGTAAGATGTGACAGTGGTAGTGTAAGATGTGACAGTGGTAGTGTAAGATGTAACAGTAGTAGTGTAAGATGTGACAGTAGTAGTGTAAGATGTAACAGTGGTAGTGTAAGATGTGACAGTAGTAGTGTAAGATGTAACAGTAGTAGTGTAAGATGTGACAGTGGTAGTGTAAGATGTAACAGTGGTAGTGTAAGATGTAACAGTAGTAGTGTAAGATGTGACAGTAGTAGTGTAAGATGTGACAGTGGTAGTGTAAGATGTAACAGTGGTAGTGTAAGATGTAACAGTGGTAGTGTAAGATGTGACAGTAGTAGTGTAAGATGTGACAGTGGTAGTGTAAGATGTAACAGTGGTAGTGTAAGATGTAACAGTAGTAGTGTAAGATGTGACAGTAGTAGTGTAAGATGTGACAGTGGTAGTGTAAGATGTAACAGTGGTAGTGTAAGATGTAACAGTAGTAGTGTAAGATGTGACAGTGGTAGTGTAAGATGTGACAGTAGTAGTGTAAGATGTAACAGTGGTAGTGTAAGATGTAACAGTAGTAGTGTAAGATGTGACAGTGGTAGTGTAAGATGTGACAGTGGTAGTGTTAGATGTAACAGTGGTAGTGTAAGATGTAACAGTGGTAGTGTAAGATGTAACAGGAGGTATTGAGGCGTGTCTTGGATCGAGCGAGGTTATTTAATTCCAAGTGCCTGGGGGTGTAGAGACCACGACGATGACGGTGGTGGTGACGATGATGGTGGTGGTGGTGGTGACGATGATGACGATGATGGTGGTGTTGGTGACGATGATGACGATGATGGTGGTGGTGGTTGTGATGATGACGATGATAATGATGACGATGATGGTGGTGGTGGTTGTGATGATGACGATGATGGTGGTGGTGGTTGTGATGATGACGATGATGACGATGATGGTGGTGATGATTAAGGGAGGGAATTCCATAGCGTAACAGTGCGAGGGAAAGTATAAACAGACAAAGGCAAAGATCCCCCATATAGCCGGGACAGACTGTTGGGGCAAGTGCTGTCAACAAGTCGCGCATATGATGGTCGGCACGGGCATACGGCCGGGGTGGGTGATCAGCACCTCGCCCGGCCGCCTTTGTCTCCCTAATGACGATGTATATTTACACAGTCTATGTGACTTTATATGTATGAACTTCTTTCGCACCGTACGTATCCAACCGTGCTAATCGGAGGCGCGGTATATAATGCAACACGCGTTGTGCATTGAACGCATGCACTCGTGTACACACACCCACACGTGTGTGCACACACACACACGCGTGTACACACACACACGCGTGTACACACACACACGTATATCCACACGTGTGTACACACACACGTATATCCACACGTGTGTGCACACACACACACGCGTGTACACACAAACCCACACGCGTGTACAAAGACAAAGATCCCCCGTATAGCCTTAACAGACTGTAGGGGCAAGTGCTGTTAGCGAGCACCTATGAAGGCCAGAACGGTACACGAGGGGGTGGGTGGCCAGCGCCACGCCCGACCGCCTTTGCCTCCCCAGTGGCTATGTTTACACACCGCACCAGGTACTCATTTAAGGCTGAGTCGACCTAGGGGAGGCCCAGGACCGGTTCAGATAATCGTCACTGGTGTTAGCCGTGAGCGGGAATCGAACCCGGGTCGCCAGATTCATAGCGTGTACACACACACACCCACACGCGTGTACACACACACGTATACCCACACGCGTATACACACACACACGCGTGTACACACACACACGTATATCCACACGTGTGTGCACACACACACACGCGTGTACACACACACGCGTGTACACACACACACGTATATCCACACGTGTGTACACACACACACCCACACGCGTGTACACACAAACCCACACGCGTGTACACACACACACCCACACGCGTGTACACACACACGTATACCCACACGCGTGTACACACACACACGCACGTATACCCACACGCGTATACACACCCACACGCGTGTACACACACACACACGTATACACACACACTGTACACACACACCCACACGCGTGTACACACACACACACGTATTAATATTCTGCACACACACACGTGACGATGTAAGCCATTGAATGGGGCACATACAGCACGAAACTAAAATACGCGCAATGTACACAACCACAATGTAAGAAGGCACTTTATGTAATATGTATGTATACATGAGCATATACAGTATATACACACGCGTGCATACACATGGGCTGGAGTGTGCACACACATGTACCCCGCACACACACACACAGGGAGTATGATGGACACAAAGACACAGATCCCCCGTATAGCCTGCCGTCAAGTTGAGGCAAGTGCTGTAAAGCCGACACGGAGCGAGCGGGTCGCGAGCGCTCCGCCCGCTCGCTCCGTCTCCCAGGTGCCGATGTTTGCACAGCGGGAACTCATTTCAGGCTAAACAGACATAGAGGATGCCCAGGTTCAGATGTCCGTCACCGGAGTTGATGATGAGCGGGAGTCGAACTCGCAGCGTGCTAATCGCGACACCACCGCTCCCCACACATTCAGTGAATGGACACACACAGGCAGTAGTACACACACACACACCTGGGTAGTGGTATACACACACCCCTGGGTAGTACACACACACAGGTAGTGGTACACACACACAGGTAGTGGTACACACACACAGGTAGTGGTACACACAGGTAGTGGTACACACACACACAGGTAGTGGTACACACACACACACCTGGGTAGTACACACACACAGGAAGTGGTACACACACCTGGGTACTACACACACCTGGGTAGTGATACACACAGGTAGTGGTACACACACACAGGTAGTGGTACACACAGGTAGTGGTACACACACAGGAAGTGGTACACACACCTGGGTACTACACACACCTGGGTAGTGATACACACAGGTAGTGGTAAACACACACAGGTAGTGGTACACACACACAGGTAGTGGTACACACAGGTAGTGGTACACACAGGTAGTGGTACACACACCTGGGTAGTGATACACACAGGTAGTGGTACACACACACAGGTAGTGGTACACACACACAGGTAGTGGTACACACAGGTAGTGGTACACACACACACAGGTAGTGGTACACACACACACACACCTGGGTAGTACACACACACAGGAAGTGGTACACACCTGGGTAGTACACACACACACGTGTGTAGTAGTACACACGTGTGTGTGTGTAGTAGTACACGTGTGTGTAGTACACGTGTGTGTGTGGCAAACGTGTGTATACACGCACACACGTGACGTCTCTATCCCTGAGTCATTCCGGAGGCTCCCCCACATCCGGTGAGCACGGCTAGCTACGTACGGCGCGAACGAAGTTCAACTCACGTACGTGCGGGGACCTCCCGAGACGGGCAAGAGAAGGGCAAGGCAGGCACGGTAGAGGGAAGGGCAGGAGAAGGGCAGGGAAGGGCAGGAGAATGGCAGGGCAAGGCAGGGTAGAGGGAAGGGCAGGAGGAGAAGGGCAGGGTAGAGGGAAGGGCAGGAGGAGAAGGGCAGGGCAAGGGCACCGCTGAAGATGGATCAAGGTGGAACACGGTTCGGGCAGGGTAGGGCAAGGTGCCGTGAGACAGGCCACGGCATCGCAAGGGCAAGAGGCGGGCAGGGCGGCTCGCTACAGAAAGGGGCAAGGCCGGGTAGAGAAGCACAGCGCAGAACGAGTCGCGGGGCAATGGACAAGGGCGAGACGGAGCAAGAAGGGCCCGCAGAGCAGAGCGATAGCAGGAGGAGACGGGGCGAGTCGGAGCCAGGCGGGGCACGGCAGCTCAGAGGAGGGCACGGCGGGGTCAACCACGACCGGGCCGAGACGGGGCAAGGCTGCGTCGCTCACCTTCGGCGGCTTCCTCGGCGCCCAGCAGCGGCGCCTCCCCCGCGCGCTCCGCGCCGCACCGCGAGCCGGACTCGAACCCCCCCCCGGGGGCCCCCCCTCCGGCAGCCCCCCCGGCGGTCGTGTGGAGGCCGCCGCAGGCCGCGCGCCGGGCCGGGGGCAGCACGGCCGCCTCCTCCTCCCCCCCGCGGCCCCGCGCCGCCGCAGCCGCCGCCGTCATCATCAGCACCGCGGCGGCGTCATCGTCATCATCGTCCTCATCGTCCTCATCGTCTTCATCGTCTTCCTGCTCCTCCTCATCCTCCACCTCATCGTCTGGGTGCAGAACGTGAATGGACCTTGGTTGCTGCTGATGATGATGTTGATGATGCTGCTGCTGCTGTTGTTGTTGCTGATGGTGGAGCATCATCATGCACGATGATTGAGCGAGGTTGAACGGCAGCTGCTGCTGATGGTGATGTTGCTGATGGTGATGTTGCTGATGCTGATGTTCGAGGTTGAGGATGTCTTTCACCGAGAACGGGGTGGAAGTTGCCGGGCAGGGCAGCATCATCATCGGCGGTCTGTGGGGAGACCACTTCCTCGCTCGGACATCGCGAAACGCAACCACCAACACCACCACTACTACCACCAACACCACCACTACGACTAACGCCGCCACAACACCACCAACATCAGCACCACCAACATCAGCACCACCAACCCCACTAACACCACCACCAACACCGCCACTCCACGTGACATCTCCACGGTGTTACACTCTCCTCTCGCGCAAGCATCGAACACGTTCGTAGTAGAACACTGCGATACAGAGCTACACTCCGGACAAATGTCGATGTGTTAGACACAGTGCGTACATGTTTGTTTACCAAATTACAATAACATCGGAGACGAGTTCTGACCTGGTCAGGCAGCGCGGCCCGGGTGAACGAGCCCGCTCCGCGTCGCCCGTGCAGCTCCCTCGCGCCGCTCCGCAATCGCCGTGGCGCTTCGCTAAGCTCGCCTCTCTCTCTCTCGTCTGCGTCTCTCTCGCCTCTCTCTCTCTCGAGTCTCTCTCTCGAGTCTCTCTCCTCCTGCGTCTCTCTCGTCTGCGTCTCTCTCTCGCCGGAGTCTCTCTCGCGTCTGCGTCTCTCTCCGCCTGAGTCTCTCTCCGCCTGCGCGTCTCTCTCTCTCGTCCTGCTCAGCGACTCGAGGCTGCTCGTCCGGGATGGGGCCCCGGGTCCCCGCCGACTGCGGCCGCGCGCGAGCCCCAGCTCATGCTCGCAGCGGCGTCTCTCTCTCGCTGTAGGTGCGTGTGACACGCGTGTGTACGTGTGTGCGTGTGTACGTGTGCGCGCGTGTGTGAGTGCGTTACACGCGTGACACGAGCGCGGCGCGAGTCCGAGGGCAACTCGGAGGGCAGCGAGGACGCGGAGTCGCCATGCGCGACGCGCGCCTCCAGTCGCCTCCCCGTGTCCCTCTCCCCCCTCGCTCCCCCCCCTCGCTCTCCCCGTGTCCCTCCCCCCTCGTCTGTGTTGATATCTCACCCCCCCTCGCTCTCTCCGTGTCCCTCTCTCTCTCCTCCCCCTCGCTCTCCCCCTCGTCTATGTTGATCTCTCACTCGCTCTCCCCGTGTTCCTCTCTCGCTCTCCCCGTGTCCCTCTCTCACTCTCCCCGTGTCCCTCTCTCGCTCTCCCCGTGTCCCTCTCTCGCTCTCCCCGTGTCCCTCTCTCTCTCGCTCGCTCTCCGACCCCTGTGCTCGCCCTCGCCTGTCACCGCCTCGCGTCGGGGGGCGAGGGGGGGGGAGGCGCTGGGGTTGGCGGCTCCCTCCCCCCTCTCCGCCCCTCGCATCCCTGGACTGGGCTGGGCACGCTCGGTCCCTCCTCCTCCTCCCCCTCCTCCTCCATCTCCTCCCCCCCTCCTCCTCCCCTCCTACCCCTCCTCCTCCCCCCAGGATAGCGAGAGACGCTCCCTCTCAGGGGAGGTGGTGGGGAGGCGGGGGGCGAGAGAGAGGGTGGAGGGAGAGGGTGGAGATAGGAGCGAGAGAGAGGAAACAGGGATAATGGTGGAGAGAATGAGGGGTGAGATAGGATAGGGAGAGATAGATGGGGTAGAGAGAGAGGGGGTAGAGAGAGAGGGGGGTAGAGAGAGGGGGGGTAGAGAGAGGGGGGTAGAGAGAGGGGGGTAGAGAGAGGGGGGTAGAGAGAGGGGGGTAGAGAGAGGGGGGTAGAGAGAGAGGGGGTAGAGAGAGAGGGGGTAGAGAGAGGGGGGTAGAGAGAGGGGGGTAGAGAGAGGGGGTAGAGAGAGGGGTGGGATGGGGGCTGGGAGAGGGGGGCCTGCACCTCAACACGCGAACCCTGCTCTCTCCCCTCGCTCTCCCCAGAAGCGGGTTCGGTAGGAACTCACGAAGCAAACAAGTTCTTGAAAACAACTTTAAAACAACAAACACGCTCTTAAAGGATATACACACACACAAAGACGAAAATTCCCCCCCCCCCTAGAGCCCTAACAGACTGTTGGGGCAAGTGTGGCGGTAAGCGAGCACCTATGAAGGCCGACACGGTACACATGGGGATGGGCCGGCACCACGCCCGACCGCCTTTGTCTCCCTAGTAGCGATGCTTACACACCGCAACCAGGTATTAATTTGAGGTTGAGTCGACCTAGGGGAGGCCCAGGAGTGGTCAGATAATCGTCACCGGTATTGGTCGTGAGCGGGAATCGAACTCGGGTCGCCGGAATTGTAGAGCAGCGCCGCTCACCACACACACAAAGCCACACGCACAAAGCCACACGCACAAAGCTACACACAGACACACAGCCACACACAGACACACACAACCACACACAGACACACAAAGACACACAGCCACACACACGCACATATACACCACGCACAGGCTCACATTGAATGCCACTCACACACTCACACAAATAGATACCACGCACACACACACATAGATACCACGCACACACACACACACATAGATACCACGCACACACACACACTTAGATACCACGCACACACACACACATAGATACCATGCAAACACATACACTTAGATACCACATTCACGGTAGACTCACACACTTAGATACCACGCACACTCACGCACATAGATACCATGCACACACACATACTTAGATACCACATTCACGGTAGACTCACACACACACATAGATACCACGCTCACACCTACCACATACGTAGCAACTCATACATTTGTACATACAACACACACACACTATGACATTTACCTAGACATATACACAACGGCATATACACATAGGTACACACTCTCAAGCATATACAAAGACACCCCCTCCGTATAGTCTACACAGACTGTTGGGGCAAGTGCTGTTAGCACGACACACGGCGGAATGATGTGGCTAGAACCACGCCCGGCCGCCTTTGTCTTCCCATTGCTGACGCGTGTTCACAGCTCGCGACAGCCACTCACTCGAGGCCGAGTCTAGCCACCGACACACACACACACGCACACACACGCACACACGCACACACACGCGCACACACACGCGCACACGCACACACACAGGCACACACGCACACACACGCACACACACACGCACGCACACACGCACGCACACGTACGCACACACGCACGCACACACACGCACACACGTACACGCACGCACACGCACGCACACACGCACACACACACGCGCACACACGTACACACACACACACGCACACGTATGTTGAACTTCTTTCGCACCTTACGTAGCCAACCGTGCTGATCGGAGATGTATATGCACACGCGCATAACCCGTATACACACAGGTGCATAAACGAACACACACACAAAGATACATATATAGACAAAGGCCCCCGTGTCGCCTTCACAGACTGTTGGGGCAAGTGCTGTACGGGAGCACATATTAAGACTGGCACGGACACACACACAGCACACACACAGCACATACACATCACATACACAACACACATCACATACACAACATACACACATCACATACACAGCACATACACAACACACACACAGCACATACACAGCACGCACACACAACACATACACAACACAACACACACAGCACATACACAGCACGCACACACACAACACACAGCACATGCACAACACACACAGCACATACACAACACATACACAACACACATCACATACACAACATACACACATCACATACACAACACATACACAACACACAGCACATACACAACATACACAGCACATACACAACACATACACAGCACACACAACAACACACACAGCACACATAACATACACACAGCACATACACAACACATACACAAACGAATACACATACTCACGCATCCATAGAAATGTACAAACGTACACACATATCAAGACAAACGTACAAAGACATATACACAAACACATACACATTTATAAACACACACATACAAATACACACATACATACAAATACATACCCATACATATATAAAAACACATACATACGAACACACACTCACATATGTTTATACACAGTACAACGCATACATCGACAAAGATCCCCTGTACAGACTGTTGGCGAAATTGCTGTTAGCGAGTAAAACAAACACGTAAATATACGCACGTAAACACAGATCCACACGAACACACACATACACACGTACACAGAGACACGTGTACATACACACGAATACATATACACGTACACGGAGACACACCAGCACACATATACACAGAGACATACATACACACGAATACATATACACAGAGACACACTAACACACATATACACAGAGACATACATACACACGAACACACACATATACACAGAGACACGTGTACATACACACGAATACATATACACATACACAGAGACACACTAACACACACATACACGGAGACATACATACACCGAGGCACGCACACGACGAGAATCACACGCGCGTGCCCGTTGCACACAGACACACACACATACACGCCGGATACACAATGCCCACAACACGTGACACATTTACTAACACTCATAAATAAGATCCCCCGTGCAGCCTTAACGGACTGCCGGGGAAGTGCGGTTCGCCAGCGCCGATGAAGGCCGGAACGGCACGCGAGGGGATGGGTGGCCAGCACCACGCCGAGCCGCCTTTGTCTCCCCCATTGCTGATGTTTTTACATACCGCACCAGGTATTCATTTAATGCTGAGTTGACCTAGAAGAGGCCCAGGACCGGTTCAGATATTCATTACGGATCTTGTTCCGAGAGCGCGAATCTAAACCAGTTCGTAGCGCAGTGCACTCACCGCAGTGTGCTAACCACTGCGCCACCGCTCACACGCACCAAAGACAAATACCATTCGTGACACACACAGCGGTGCAGCGTGATCACAATAACAGTTGACGCGACACCAAGACGCGACTCCAAATCCAAGACTTCTTGGATTTGATTCTCACTCCCGAATCTCTACCCGAAGCGAAGCGTCGCGTTGTCCGATCGCTGCTGAATTCGGCTGTGAGAATTGTTGGGTGGTGGCGGGCCGCATGACACACTCGCCACGGAGCGGGCTCCAACATCACAGTCGGGTGGTAGAGGGTTACACGACCACAATTGGGCCAGCTCATTCACGCAGCCTCACGCACACATCTATTATTAAAAATAAAAATCACTGCAACAAAAATAACAACTAGCACTCGAATCAATGTAATTAAAGTAACGGCGGCAGCAGTCATTAGCCCCGCCGGTGTAATCTCGGTGAGAGCTCGCAAGCCCCGTTACCCCAGAGGTGCCATCATCTCTCTCCACTCACGCTACCGCAAAGACAAAGACCCCCCGTATAGCCTCACCGCACGACTGAGGACAAGTGCCGTGAGTGAACACCTATTAAAGACAACGCCGCACACGAGTAGGTGGTGTGGCCAGCACCACGATCGGCCGCCTTTGTCTCCCCAGTGCTGATGTTCACGTACCGCACCAGGTACTTATGTAAGGCTGAGTCGACCTAAGGGAGGCCCAGGACCTGTTCACATATTCGTCACCGATGTTGGTTCGTGAGCAGGATTCGAACTCGGGCCGCTCGGTTCGTAGCACGGTGCATTGCTATCCGCTGCGCCACCGCTCCCCACAGACAGACACAGACAGATACACAGACACATAGACACAGACACATAGACACACAGACATACATAGACACACATATAGACACACACACAGACACACACAGAGACACACACACAGGCACACACACAGACATACACAGAGACACACACATAGACACACACACAGGCACACAGACACACACACTGACACACACAGACACACACACAGACATACAGACACACACACATACACACACACAGACACACACAGACACACACACAGCCACACACAGACACACACACACAGACACACACACAGACATACAGACACACACACAGACACACACACAGACACACGCAGACACACACACAGCCACACACAGACACACACACACAGACACACACACAGACATACAGACACACACACATAC